GAGAGAGCTAGCTCATCAGAACACCCACATTGAAGGCCAGGTCCCTGGGAGACAGAGGGTCTGGAGTCAAGAATGCAGAACTATAGCCAGAGGGATGGAAAGAGTTAAATCTTGTGGCCACTGATGCTTTCTTAAAGCAGAAAATCATGTCACTCTTCTTTGTGATCCTTTTTTGAGACTTTATAGCCAGTGCACCATTTAAAAAAAAAAAAAAAAAAAAAAAAAAAAAAAAGAAGAAGAAGAAGAAGAAGAAGAAAAAAGATTCCTTTATTTCTTAGCTGGAACAACTTAAGCAAGAACTTGAGGGGAAAGTAGGTCGACTGACCTACTTTTGTCCTGTTTAGAAATGTCGCATTTGGGATCAGAGCTGGTGGGAAATTTCCATTCCAAATTCTGCGCGCGAGGAAAATGGCCAATCTGACTTGACACGATGGATCAGGACACACTTACAATCCTTCCAAATAGCCCGTGAGTTACCTCGTGTGGCCTTGAAGGGACATTTCAAAAATGAGTGCCCTCTCATGATGAAAGAACAGACAGACTTGCGCTTATTTTTAGAGTAAATAAGTATCATCCTCCTTCGTGTGCATTCATTTGATGTCGACCTCCTCTTTCCTTCCAAGTGAGAGCAGTGCATAAGCGTGCAACTCCAAAGGCTACGGTGTTCACTACGGTATTCCGCGTAACAGAAGCGGGTATCACATGCCACACATGCTCTAACACTCTTTAACATTAATGTACCCAGTCCCCATCACACCACAATGAAATCAGTATTATTACTTTCTCTACCTCTGGGTTCTTCAGCTTTTCCTTGTTTAACACAGATCTAGTGCCTGGATCCACACTGCCAGGTCCCCATTCTAGCTGCCACCTCTAGTCACCAGTTTCTTTTTCTCCTACTGACCCTGGGAGCCAAGGACAGGGGCCTGAGCTGGCTCTCTCTGCCCCTCAGACTGCAGGGCAGCATGACGGGGGGGGGGGGGGAGGGGGGGAGGGGGCGGAGTGGATCGCTACAGGCAGCACGGGTCAGCCAGTCCAACCCCGTCCTGGCCATGCAACTCAGAGACGAAGTGACCTCCCAGTGCATGTGGTTAGGGGTCGAGCCTACACTCCACTCCCACTCAGCACTGTCTCCCAGGGCACAGCCCTTCCCACCGCTCTGGGGGCTCCTCCCTGCAGGACTCTGGGAGGGCCATGCAGAGGGGTCACCACTGCCCTCGCCTCAGCCCCTGGACCAGACGCTCCCAGCAACAGAGAAGCAAGGCCAAGCCCTCAATCCTCAGCCCACAGACTCCCGTGCCCTGGCCAACCTCTGCAGAGCTCTGACCCTTGAGCAACCTCTGAAGGCTCCGCAGGGCCGTGGGCAGGCCCAGGGTCCCGGAACAACGGCAGCAGAGCATGGCACAGCAACGCAGATGCCAGAGCAAAGCGCCCAGGCACCGACTCCCAGCCCTTGAGCAGGGCCCTGCAAGAAGTCTCCCAAGGCCGACTGCCACCCACTACGTGGCTCCACTCCCCGCCTCGCCCTGAGGGCAAGCCTCAAGACAGCCAGGGGGCTGCTGCCGAGACAATCAACCACGGGCCACACGGTGACTGTCTTCTAGAAGCAACGCTCAGGAAGAGAAACGGGTTCCAACTGAGCCACTGGGCAAAATAATCAATTTTAGATACATGTTGAAGTCCAAAAATAGATCCCTCCCCCTCCCCACCCCCCCATCCCCCCCCACCCCCGCCAACCCAAAGCTGAGCTTACACGCACTCCCTTTTCTCCAGAGTATTTTTAGATTACTAGAAGTCTCTCTTAAAACCCCTGGACCGTAACAATGAGTGAAGGAGAAAAGAGGAATGACCTTGCCACTTTATCTCGCTTTTTAACAGAGGAAAGTTTATCAAGAATCCCAAGGCAGCAGCAGGAAGCGAGATCCCCGCCCATCTCCCCAAACTCTGCTCCCCGAGGAGTGACCCCACTCCTGGCGGTGGACCTCCGATGCCAGGAGAGGTCAGCTCTCACACGGACATGGCTCATTCAGTGGGGCAAACCACGCTGGTGGGCTTGAACTTCCTAAGCATCGTGAAGTCCATGCTGGCATCTGAGTTCCACAGATGAGGATTTCAGAGGATTTCAACACAGCCAAGGCCACAGAGCCTCTCGATTCTAGAGCAGGCCGCACCGTCAGCTCCTTGTCCACACTGCCCTTCACCTTGCACCACAGCACAGCCCACGGGGTTAGAGGGCCGGGAAGGGAATCTGAGTCACCTGCATCTGAAACCCAGCTAAATGAGCCAGGCCTGTTTCACCCAGCGGGAGAAGGGGGGGCATTCGCATTAGGACTGTGACAGACTGCATTATTGGTGCAAATTCCCCTCCCCTCTCTGGCTTCCCATCCTTGGCCATAGGCTTTTGCAGATCCTCACACGAAAGGAGCAGGATATATTTTCCCACTCCTCAACTCGGTGACACACTGTGACAATGGTGTGAGGTGAAAGAGACCGTGCGCTGCTTCGGAGCCTAGACCGCAAGAGTCCAGCGTGCAGCCACTTGGCCTCGGGTCCCTGAGCAGAGCACGCCCGGCAGCCCTGGTCCCGGGAGGCGCAGGAGAGACACGTGGAGCAGTCACCACCAACCACCACCAGCCCACCTCCAGCAGACTCCCTCACAGCAGGCCTGTGGCTTCCTCTCCGGAAGGACCAGTACAGGAGTCCTACGGGGAATGCTGTCAGGGAGTTCCCACACTGGGAAAGAAGTCGGACCGGACCAGTGGTTCCAGACTCTGGAATTTTAGGTCTGAGTGAAGAGCCTGAGTTTCACAGGCTCACAATTAGATAGGAGGACAGACATCAGCAAAAAAGGAGATAAATGCCAGTTGGTGAAGAATATTAAATAAATACAGTGAATTGAGAGAAATTGGTGAAGGCTGCTTAGGGTAAGGGTTCAGGGAAGATTTCTCTGAGGAGGAGATATTTCAGATGAAAAATGGGAATGTATTAGGCATGCAAAAAAAAAAAAAAAAAAAAAAAAAAAACTAGGGAAACAGCAAGTGCAAAGGGCTTGAGGTGGGAAAAAAAAAAAAGTGGCTTGTGGCATGAGGCCAGAAGCAGATTGGTCATCGGGACCTTGTGGGCCCCAGCATGAAGTTGGAAGTTCATTGGAAGTGTGAAGGGAAGCAGGGGGTCATGAGCAGGGAGCACCAGGACCTGGTTTCTGGTTAAAAGAGTCTCAGGATGCTGTGCGGAGAGTGGCTTGTTCAGGGGCCACAATGAAAGAGACCGACCAGTGAGGACACTTGCAGCCTGCTGGGGCTCTGTGACCTTTGTGTCCTGGGGCAATCCTTTAACAGTGCTACGTCTCAGTCGTCCCATCTGTAGAGTGTGCCTACTGTCTGCACTTCCTAGTTCACAAACTCTTTGGGCTCCTGGAGGTGGGTGGGAATGAAGGTGCACATGACCTTGCTCGCCCCTGCATGCTTCCTTCTAATCACTTCACCTGCCTTTCCTGGAGCTAGAGCAATGTCCTGAACTTGCCTGTGAAGATCTCCCAGAATCTCAAGACCCCATATTCTTCAATGCCTACCGTGACAATGCGTCCATCTCTCCATCTGGAAGGAATTGAGAACACCTGGAAGCTGGCCAGGCATCAAAACAAATGTAGGAGAAATACAGGGTAATATGGAGGCCAGTCAAGCTCCCAGGAGGCCAGCAGAAGGGAAATAGAGGCAGATAAAGGTCAGACAGGTGCTAATTATGGCAAGAGAGATCAATCCTGACCAGGGGAGTCCTCAGGCAAATCTGGGCTCAACATTGATGAAGGAGGGAGCAAGGCCAAGACACAACTTATTCAGAGAACCTGACAGCCTGGCCAGGCTGCTGGACTGTAAGAGACCACATGGAGCAGAGAAGAGCTGTCTCAGCGGAGCCTACCCTGGGTAAGCCAGCCGTGGTTGACCTGACAGCTGTCTAGTGACACATGAGCAAGCTCAGCTCAGATCATCTGAGGCTGGCCCATCCCAGAAGAACTGCCTAGTTGACTCAGAAACTCATAAATCATGAACGCTCCTTTATTTTAAGCCACTGAGCTTGGAGGTAATTTGTTACACAGCAATCACTGACTGATACAGAGGGTATGATGGCCAGCGGCCCTTCCTGTTTCTCTGTAGCAGGCCTCGGCTAGCATCACACTCCTGTCTCCCTGTCTGAGTCCTCTACATGTTCAGCTCACTGGACTGGGTCATAAGCCATGAACTTGTCTCTATAAGTTTCTTTGTGACCTTAGAAAAATGTCTTCCCCTGTCAGGACTGTTTTCTTATCTGTAAAAAATGAAGCAACGAAATACTTCCAGGAGCCTCCCAGCTCTCAGGTTCTATGTTTGGATAACTCTGACCTCCTCTTGCAGCCATTCTGTCATTTACTCAGCAAGCATTTGCTCAGAGCCTGCTGAGGACCCGGCCTTGGCCAGGTCTAGGGACACAGGCTCAGACAACAAGATTCAGATCCGGCCCACCGGGAACTCCTCCGACAGCTCACTGTCTTGTGAGTGTAGAGAGGATGCCTATGAGGAGCTCTTGGTGGCCGAGGTGAGAACAGTGGGCAAGAGCCATGTTCACACCTTCCCAGCAGAAAGAGGGATGCACACTCAGTACCCAGGTGCCTCAGCCTTGGAGCTCCTGCTCAGAGATCGGCCTTGGTGTCCTAAGGCCTCGAGAAAGTTCCCTGTGTATTTCAGCACATGCCCCGAGGAAATGAGAACTGGGCCTTGAACTCAGCACACTCGATGTGCACGTAAATGACAGGAAGGGGACCTTTGTCCACTCAGTCTCACCCAAGGGAGCCAGGAGCGCTGACCCTTACCCCTGGGAGACGGGCCCATCTTTGTGGGAGAGTGAAATGAGCAGTTATAAGTCCTTTACACCCCTGATTACAGCAGCCCTGTGGGACCTCCTCCCAGTATCCGAAGGAGGTGGGCCTGTGGGAGGTGTCTGCGGGGGACCCAGCGCCATCCTACCGTGGAACCAGGGGGCGATGGACTTGGTGTTCCTCTCGAAGCCAGCTTGGCGAGGCAGCTGCTCCTCCTTGAACCAGCGGACTATGACTTCTCTGGAGATGGGACGCAGAGGGCGCTCCCAAGTCCTGCAGAGAAGAGAGAGGGAGCGAGGGAGAATCAGGGGGGAGGGGACAGATGGAAGGAGGGAGGCCACTGTGAGGACCAATAAGCACAGTGCCCACGCTCACGCCTGCGGAGAGGATGCAATGAGAGTTGGGTACTCGAAGACACTTTGCAGATTGGAATGTACCAGCTGTGACTCTCGTTCCCCAAAGAACACTGTGATCACTTGCTTTGAAGAGAGCCACCCAGGTGGGGGTGGGAAAGAGGACGGGCGGGGTGTCAGGGGGAAGGAAAAGGCACATTTTCCCTCAAGGATGGCCAGGTGTGAGTGTGAGCGTCCACGAAGAAGGACCCTAATGTAATGGGAGCAAAATTACTAATGTGTGAGGGTCCTCCATCCCCCCTCCCACACACACACACACACACACACACATACACCCACACACACCCCGAGAAAGAGAATTCCAGTCTGTCCCTCAGGTGGCCCCTCCCCAGCCTTCTCAGGGGACACCTGCCTTCGCCAGCTGCTCCCTGCTCCCAGGTGGCAGAATCAGGACAGTGAACAGAGAGAAACCAAGAACCTGAATGGCTGTGGCTGTGGCTGTGGCTGTGGCTGTGGCTGTGGCTGTGGCTGTGGCTGTGGCTGCGGCTGTGGCTTTGGCTATGGCTGAGATGCACCACCGAGAAACAAAAAGGATAAGGACAGAGCAAAGTTGGGGGATAGAGGACGGGGACAGAGCAGTGTGCTGGCTGACTTGATAGATTTGAAGGGATCTGGGGAGGGGCTGAAGATAGTGAGCGTGAGACAAAGAGAGGCACTTGAAGAATTTATGGGTCATGAGCTACATTTTTTTTTATGTTTTCTCACAATCAAGCCCAGATTTTAGTGTGTTTGTGTCTGAACTGCGGCTCTTGAATGTGTATAGAGTCTGGGCCGCCGAACAGCCCTGTGGCACTGGAGCTACACCAACAGGAAGCACAGTTAGAGTTGGATAGCACGGGACACGTACTAGGCAAATGGTGGCAATGGCATGAGGTGACAATGGCAAGGCCACGTGCCCTGGTCTGTGTGGTAGCGAGGTGAGAGCACAGCAGCTGACCAGCAGCCTCCGGCCCGGCCTGAGCAGCCTGTCACATGGTGCTAGCATTTAGAATTCACTGTTTTATTTATAAAACGAGCTGTCCCTGCACGTGTCCTGCATTTGCCCTGCATGAACACTTAGATGCCGAATTCAGCGCTTCCTTGCAAACCCCAGGATGAGGTCATATATTCACTTGCCCTCGAATGAATCCCCTCACACACATACACAGCAGTGAGCAGTGTGACATGAGGAAAGGGTCGCCTGGAAGTCAGCGGGTGAGGTTCCATCGCAGGCTTACCGCCACCAGCGTGGAGTTTATTCCCAAAAATCCTCCTTCCCCCACCGCCTCCCTGGGCAATTCTGCACCCCACTGCCAGCTCTGCTCCTGCTGACCCCACTTTGGGGCTCCCCTCGCAGTCACCTTGGAGGCCCTTCCTCTTTGTTGCGCAGCACACGGCAGCCCTGCCCAGCCTGGTGTTCCTCCACACTCCTGACCCCAATCAGTAGCTGCACCGGTGAAACGTGTCTGGTTGTGAGGACTCATGTTCCTTAGAAGGCAAGAGGAGGCTACAAATAACAGCAAGAAAGACAGTTCCTCCCATCCCTCTGTTCCCAGCAGACTGGCTGGAGGAGGAATGCTGGAAGTCACCTGCCAGAAGCCTGACTCCTGCACCAGCAACAGTGCGTCTGCCCTGGCACAGCCAGACCCGGTGTGCCCAGGCGGCAGCGCTAAGAGCCGTGCGGTCAGGACACTGGGCCCCAGGGGCAGCCAAGCAAGAGGCTGATGCAGGTTCTGTACTTAAAAACCATAATAAGAACCCTGTGTAGAACATGCAAAGTTTTATGCAAACAAAAAAAAAAAAAGGAGAGAATATGACTTCTCTGTTGGCAGTTGCCAAAGGAAATGACAGACACACTGAGAACAGGGGTTCCTGGGGCAGATGGCGCTGAGGAGAAAAACTCAGGCAGCTGTCCATCACCTGGGGGGGGGGGGCGCCCCATCTGCATGGCCCCTGCCCCCCTTGGTGAGAGCCGATGCTCCCCTACTGAGAGCGATGGCAGCCGCCTGGAGCCCGCTGCACCACGGCCCAGGCAGCTCCATCGCGTGGGCCTGCAGGACTAGCCATCCGTTTCCTGTGAAATGGCACATTATCCTTCTCCTGGGAAAATGCTGAGAAGGCTTTTCTAGCTCTGTCTCCAAAGCCAGGAAACATGAAAGAGAACCTGACCTCGTAAAAGTCAGGAATTCCTGCATGACAGAAAACTTCGTCAGAAAAACCAAGAATTCCCGCGTGACAGAAGACTTCCCGGCAAAGGGCGAAGGACAAATGGCAAACAGGGGAAACGTGTTTATCACAAACAACAGGATGCTCTCCCCTCATATTATACTTAAAGAGTTCTTAGAAATGGGGGATGAGGAACAAATAACAACACAATAAAAACCGGGGAGAGGGAAGCTGAGACAGACATGGAAATAGCAGTGGTCCTTAAACAGATACAAAATACCGGACCTCATCATAAAGAGAAATCAATTCCAAGCTTTCACTATAAATGGGGGCGGGGGGAGAGAAGGGAGAGGGAGACATAATACAGAACCCTGTGTAGAACATGCAAAGTTTTATTCAAAAAAAAAAAGGAGAGAATATGACTTTCTGTGTTGGCAGTTGCCAAAGGAAATGACAGACACACAGAGAACAGGGTTCCCTTGGGGAGAGGGCGCTGAGGAGAGGACAAGGATGGGATGGGTCTTTCCTCCCTGTCTTTTTTAACTTCCTGGTTTGAGAATCACATAAGTGACAGGAAGGGGAAAGGAAAGAAGGTTAGGAAGGAGAAAATTCAGACGACGTCAGTCCTCCCTACCTGCAGGGAGAGCGAGAATGAGTAATCCTAATCCCAATTAAAGCAAAACTCAGGCAGCCATCCATCACCTGGGGGGCGGGGGGAGTGGACTATGCAGGTGAGCTGTGGTTCAGGGAGCCACAGGCACTCACGCCCAGCCTCAGTGCACTGGGTAAGACAGTGGCTCTGAAGTGATGGGGGCACAAGTCTGGGACTGATGGGCACGAGCAGAAGGTGGAAGGCTCTTGGCAGCCACTTCCCCCTGGGTCCTGGTAATCATAGGCAGTCCCCTAAGTGCCCTCACCACACTCTTCCCGTGACGCCAGCGTGTGTGTGCGCCTCCTGCATCCCACCACACTCACCTGCAAAGCTGCTATCAAAACCCAGGATGGCCCAGCACTGCCTGTGGCTAGAAGCAGCCAGCCCCAGTTCCAGGCCACTGGGCAGCATCACTCCACCTGAGGTCTCACAGTGCCAGTTCCTACCCTGCGGCCTGTGGACCCTGGAGAGCTTGGAATTCCATGCAAGCAGCTGGGACTATTTATATATGCACGTTTGGGAGTGACGGGGGTACACAGCTTCCTTTAGATTCTCAAAGGAATACGAGTCCCCAAAAAAGTTAAGACTCCCAGGACTCCAGTTATTAGAAATCTCCAACCTCCCTTTTCCCCTCCTGCCTCATTCCACAGCCTGGGGCACTGAGGCCCACAGAGGGGAAATGACTGACCCCAAATCTCACAGCAAGTTGGAGGCAGAACCAGGACTGGACCCCCAAACCCCTGCCCCAGCCAGCACCCCCATGCCCCGCCCCCAGCCCCCCAGACCCACCTGACGGGCCCCGGGCCAGGAAAGTGGTGGCGGAGCCTGGCCTCCTCCCTGTGGCTCTGGCCAAGCTCCTGGAGCATGAAGCTGAGGCCAGCGACGGCGCCCTTCTGGAGGGCGCGGAGCGACAGGCGCCGGTACTCGTCCCGGGCGCGCTGGGCGCGGCGCCTCCTCTCCTCGTCCGCTGCCTTGGACCGCCGCACTGGAGGGAGAGAACAGTCCTAGAACCGCAGTCCGGCTACACGCGGAGCAGCCAGGTCAGGGTCCACGGGACTCCCCACGGGGCTGCACAGAAGCCTGGAGCCGGAGCCGGAGCCGGATCAGCAGGCCACCCAGCCCGGACCAGCAGCCCTGGACTAGCCTGTCCCTGGGGGACAAGGACACACATGACAGTTCAGTACGGGGCTGCTCCTGGGCCCTGTTCCAGAATGAGCAGGAAGCCTCTGGGTGGAAATTTACGTCTCCATATGCACCTCCTCCTGCAGTGCCCTGCTCAGAGCAGCCTCTCACACCCGCTGCCCACCCACCCAGCTTCAAGGGCACCCGTCAAAGGGGTCGGCACCTCCAAACACCACTGTGATCGCCCACTCTGACTGCGGGGTTCCCCGTGCCGGCCCTGGGCCGCATGCCTTCTCTGCTCTAGCTCATGGCAGACACGCCAGGCCACCTACGGATCGGTCGGTGGGAGTTTTCCAGAAAGGAGAGAGGGCGGACGCCATCTCTGAGAGGAAGCCTGGGCTCCGCAGCCCGGTGGGTGTGCCTGTAAGTGCCTGATCCTGAGATGCTGTGATGTCAGACAGGGCTCAGGGCCCTTATGGGCTCTGCAGTCACCAGGCTGCAAATTGAACCCAGAAATTTGTGCCCTACAAGGGCCAGTGACCTTGGAGAGATTACAGTCCCCGGTGATCGCAGCGCTCAGTGACAGACAGACAGACAGACAGGTCGCAGAAGGAAGTCATACGCAGACGAGGCATTCAGCTGAGGAGGCCCTGAATCATTGGTCACACAGAGACTACACCAGCCTCAGGCCCAGCGCTAATCCCACCGCTGCCTTCCTCAAAAGCCTTCCGCGCTCCCACTGTGCACAGGATAAAGGAAGAACCCCTGGGCCCTTTAGAGGTGTCCCACGCACCCACTTTCTCCCCGACCCAGCGGGCTTTGAGCTCTTCCCACACTCGTGCCCTGGTCCCACCAAGCTCCAACCCCCCCTCCCTCCTTCAGCAAAGTCTTCTCTGTATGCGTGGGCAGCCGAGGCAGCTCAGAAAGGCCAGCAGCAGCCCTGAGGGCACTGAGATGCTGCAGCAGCAAGCAGGACTCGGCCTTGGCCTTGGCAAAGCCAACCCTGCCACCCAGCCCAGAGTATGGCACCGGGTTCATAGAGTCAGACAGCTTTCTTCTCTTCTCTCTCTCTTTCTCTCTCTCTCTCTCTGTCTCTCTCTCTCTCTCTCTCTCTCTCCATACATTCCCTCCCCTTTTTTGAGATACAATTGACATATAACATTGTGTAAGTTAAGATGTACATGTGTTGGTTTGATACATTTATATAGTTTAATAATTGACACTGTAGCATCAGCTAACATTTCCATCACATCCCATAATTGTCATTTCATTTTTGTGATGAGAACATTTTAAGATCCAGTCTCTTAGCAACTTTCACATATATAACACAACATTGTTCACTATAATTCTGTGCTGTGCATTGGACCTCCAAAATGTATCCATCTTTTTTTAAAATATTTTTATAGATTTCAGAGAAGAAGGAAGAGAGAGGGAAAAATAGAAACGTCAATGATGAGGGAGAATCATTGATTGGCTGCCTCCTGTACGGCCCCCAGTGGCAGTCCAAGTATGTGCCTCGGAATCAAACTGTGACCTCCTGGAACTATGACCTCTTGGTTCGTAACTGCATGCTCAACCACTAAGCCACACTGGCCAGGCAAAAACTTACCCACCTGTAACTGCAAGTTTGCACCTTCTGACCGATGTCTCCCAGTTCCTCCACCATCACCCCCAGCCCCTGGGAACCACCATTCTACTCTGTCTCTGTGAGTTGGGTTTTTTCTACTCCTCAGACCCATGAGAACATACAGTACTTGTCTTCCTCTGTCTGATTTATCTCACTCGGCATAAGGACCTCAAGGTCCAACCATATTGTTGCACATGGCAACAATATTTCCTTCTTTCTTGTGGATGAATAATTTTGCATTGTGTATGTGTATGCATGCATGTGTGTCTGTGTGTGTGTGTGTGTGTGTGTGTGTGTTCCATATCTTCTTTCTCTATTCACCCACTGTTGGGTACTTGGGTTGTTTTCCTATCTTAGCTAATGTGAATAATGTTCAATGAACATGAGGGTGCAGGAATCTTTTCAATATCCTGTTTTCATGTCCTTTGGTTATATACCCAGAACATTGCTGGATCATATGGTGGTTTTATTTTTAATTTTTTGGTGGAACCTCCATACTGTTTTCTATAGTGGTTGAGCCAATTTGCATTCCCCCCCCAGCAATGTACAAGGGTTCCCTTTTCTCCTCATCCTCACCAACACTCCACGGCTTCCCTAAGGGAGTCTCCAGGCCTCCGTTTGCCCCTCTGCCAAATGGGAATGACATGGATGCCTGCCTCACTGAGTTGTAAAGGTTAAATGAAACTTACAGAACACTATGAAATGCTTCCAAAAAGCAACGTCTTATTAAATCAAGTCTCTCTAGGTGTGAGCCAGGTGCCCAGGAGCAGATCGCAATGCCACTTACCAGCTGCGTGACACTGAACGAGCCACTTACTCACCCTGGGCCTCCATTCCTCACAAGGAAGGTGGAGATGGTAACAGTCACTACTTCATAAAGTTGGTGAGGGTGAGGGAAGCTAACAACACAAGCCTCTTAGAATCCGTAAGCACCATGGCAAGTTAACTAAAATGTTTATTTTCATTAGCCCTGGCACTGCGAAGTCCAAAACAGAGCCAAGAACAGTTCGTGGACCGGCCAGGAGGGGGCACCTTTGCTTGTCCATCAGGTGGAATCTGTCCTGTGACCATTTGTAACTAGCTTCCCTTAAACTACACTCAGAACTTTAAAAGGTGGCTTTTAGTTCCTTCTCAGGATCAGGGAAGGATTTGGCCTGTATCTTATGAATCTGCTGTGAGAAAGCAGAATTCATGGAATGCTTTTTCATCTAACCCAGTGAATACAACGAACCAGGCATAGAAGCCATGCTGGGAGCAGTCATGGCAGTGTTTGCCCCAAGCCAGCAACGTTTGGGTTGTCCTCCTGCCCCGAGGACCCGCTGCAGCCAGCCGCGAGGGCTCACACCAAGCCATCTGCCCCCTCCCACAGCCCTCACTCGCCGAGGACTCCCACAGGCCTAGTCAGCAGGCACTCCAGGGCCATCTTGCACACAGAGCAGTGGGGGCCAGGGGTCTCCTTTCTCCATCTCAAAGGGAGAGTCAGCCTCATCTCACAGAAATAGCGGAAAGACGACAAAGCATGGAAACACTGAAGACTTTCATGGAAGGTTGGATTTAGACATAAAAAATGGACTGACCACGCTTCACCTTCATTAGAATAATATAAAAGCCTAAGCGACTGGCCAACCGGCTGACCAACTGGTAGCTATGATGCACACTGACCACCAGGGGGCAGATACTCAACACAGGAGCAGAAACCGCAGGCCTGGAAACATGGAACAGAATAATGAATCTCAGAGGGAAGGAGAGATGAGGGAGGGTGGGAAGAGATTAACCAAAGATCTTATATGCATACTAGAGGCCCTGTGCACTGATTTGTTCACCAGTGGGGTCTCTGAGCCTGGCCTGTGGGGATTGAGCCAAAATCAGCTCGTCGATATCCCCCAAGGGGTCCTGGATTGCAAGAGGGTGCAAGCCAGGCCAAGGGACCCCACCGGTACACAAATCTGTGCACTGGGCCTCTAGTGGGTAAATATTTTTTGTAAAAAACAGAAAGCAGCAAGCGTTGGCAAGGACATGGAGAAATTGTAACCCTTGTTTATTGTTAAGAATGTAAAACGGTGCAGCTGCTGTGGAAAATAATATAGCAGTTCCATAAAAAATTAAACATACAGTTGCTGTATAATCCAGCAATTCCACTCTGGATATAGACCCCAAAGAACTGAAAGGGGGATTGGAACAAGGATTTGCACACCATGTTCACAGCAGTGCTAAAGGCGGGAGCAAAACGTCCGTGGATGGATGAACAGAGAAACACAGGGCAGTCTATACATTCAAAGGAAGGTTGTTCATCCTTAAAAGGAAGGGAATTTGACCTAGGGATGAGCCGTGAGGACATTGTTAAGTGAATAAGCCAGACACAACAGGCAGTAAGGTGTGATTCTGCTTATATTCCACTCGTTGTACTTCGAGTAGTTAGTCATCGGCGGAAAGTAGAATGTGGCTGCCGGAAGCTGGGGAGGGGGAGGGGGCGGGGAAGAAGGGGGTTAGTATTTAATGGGGACAGAGTTGGAGTTCGGGAAGATGGAAAAGTTCGGGGGATGGTGTGACGATAGCACAACGTGAATGTACCCAGTGCCACTGAACTCTACACTTACAACGGTTAAAATGGCACATTTTGTTGTGTATTTTACCACAAATTTTAAGGATGGACATTCTATAACCTCCAGTTTGGCTGAGAATCAAGAGGCGGAGTGCAGCTGCGTGTCACTGTTGGCTGGATGTGTGCCCAGCTGTGGGTCCACCTCGGCCTCTCCCCCCTCCCCTTCTCCCCCCCCCCCCCATCTCTCATCTGCAGGTGAGAAGGAGAGGTCCCTTTCAGTTCTGCCCTCTTGTCAGGGATGCGCCCATGCCTGTCTAGCCTGAGGCTACATCCTCAGACCTGGAACCTTGCTCTCCAGGACTGCCAGCTGGACCCACCTGCTCAGTAAGAAAACCAAAATCTCAGTGTTTAGGGTCCACCCTCACCCATATCAGACCTGGGAATTTCAGCTGCCTCTAGCAGGGGAGGAGGGCGGTGGAGTGGGAGGGGAGCATTGTGCCTGGCGTGGCTCCTAACACAGTCCCTATATTTCTCTGTTCATCCATCAGGACAAGTTTGCATACTGCTGGGTCTCAGCTCCCTTCACCCAAGGGCTGCCCAAACTGCCAGGCTGTCCTGGACTCGGGCCCTCATCTGTCCACGGCTCCTGCTCAGTTCCCCAACACCGAGATGATGCCAGAGTGGGCTTCCTCTC